AGCCAACTAATTATTACAAGATAAAATTAGCTAACTAATTAATTACAAAACGAAGTAACCAAATTAGCTACTCTAATTACTCCTCCTCGGGAAACGAGGAATGCTCATGTATGCGCGGACTTTCCACCCGAAAAAAAAAAGCCACTGTTTCTACTGCTGAATGCCTCTGTTGCACAGTTAAACACTTGCACTGTTTTCCACCTCAGGACCAACTCTGTTCTACTTCAAAAGTACATTATTGGATTTTGCACTGGTGGTCGGTAGATGGCCTGCTATCCACTGGTGGTGGCCTGCCGGCCACTGATGACTAGATTATCCTGCTGCAACAGACAGCAAACAGAGCAGGGACAGGGCATTCTCAAGGGTTTGTTTGCACAATTCACATCTCCCTATCATTTAAACATCTTAAAAGAGTAGCAATTTTGATTCACAAGCCACAAATTGATGCAATTTTATTGCATGATGGCTTATGAACCAAATGTGCAAGTTCAATGAATGCAACAAAACAAGACTCTCAAAATCATCTCTCTATCATGAAAGATTAAGGGAAGTAGTTGAAAATGAATCTTGAACCGTTTTGATCACTAATGAGTATGAAACGACTCAAGACTCAAGGGTTCAATTAACGTCCGATTAAACCCAAAATCAAATTATTATCTTGCACATTTTTTAATCACCAATTTTATTACTTCATTTTAGATTGCCATCCATTATTTAATCAATTAAGTCCACAAGTGAATTTAAGTCCTCTAATGGAAAGAGGGCTCAAACCAAGTGTTGTTTTGGGTATGAAAGAGACATCATGCCGTTGGTAATGAACCCCTAAAGGGATTAAACCATTAAGCATGACACCTCAATCTCATACTTAAACAAACAAATAATTTGAAACCACTTTCAAAGCAAAGAAAAAGTTAAGAAATGAAGGAGGTTGCAGAGGTGATTAAAGGTGAGAACAAGTAAGAAAAGCACTAAATAAATACAATCAACTCAAACAAGGTGGTGTCTAAAGGCCTAAAACACCAAACTTATGAGGACAATTACACGACAAGCATGCAATATAAGGCTGAAATGGAATGAATACTTAAAAACAGTTCTAAAACATTGTTAAATAAGCCCTAAAACATGCTAGAATTAAGACGAAGATAGCGAGAGTAATAGGCTAAAACATGGATCATGCTAGGCTAGTAAGCAAAACACAAGGAGGGGAGGCTAACCCCTCCAATTTTGGATTTCAAAACATGATTTTAGCCACTGAACTAACTTTAAAAATCAGTGTTTAAAATTTCAAAAAAAGATAGTGCAAAGGTGGAAAACACAAGGGTAAAGGCCTTGAGAGCAAGGTGTAAAGAAGGGTGAACTACCCCTCAACCTCTATTGGCCTTAAAACCCAAGTTTTAGCCCAAAAATATAGAGTTTTTACAGCCCAAAAACAGTGAGAAAACAGTAAGAAAAAGAGTGATTAAAGCAAGTAGAAAAACAAAACTTTATACCTCTTGAAGAGAAGAACTAATTCTAGGCAACAAATCAAGGCAAGCGCACCCTCAAGAGCTCAAACAAGGCTCAATAATACCTCATCTCAAAGATGGAGAGGTTTGGTTACGAGTAGGCAAAGGTGAAGAGTATATAAGCAAAGGTGAAGATATTTGCAAGAGAGAAAGAGAATTGTAGAGAGAGAGGAAAAATTTTGTTCCAAAATTTTTCTAACCCCATGGCAAGAGGGGAGGCCTCCTGTATATAGAAAACCAAGCAACTCCCTCAGAAACATCTATCCATACACGTGGAAGCAGATACATGCATCTGTGCAAACAGCTAGCACAGCTGGCAAAAAATATCTGCAAAACACATCAGTGGCCAGCAACCAAAAGCAATGGCCGGCAACCCAAAGTAGTGGTCGGCAGGCCACAAAAGGTTGCAAGCTTGAAGATCCAAGGTTTTGGTCTAAAAACAAGGCAACAAGAGTACAAGGTTTGAAGACTTAAAGTTGTGGCATTCCGCTAAGGATTTTGAGCACTTGACAATCATATACACTCATCATTGGTGTGCAAGTGATGACATCCAAGTCGTAAGAGTGGTAAAAAATGAGGTGTCTAGAGTTAAAAAGCTAACTTATTGGTTAAAAATAAGCTAACAAAAATACTAATGCTACAAAAGTTAGTTTGTTTGACAAATTCATAGTTTTTTTTTTTTTTTTTCTTTGGCGGGACTAGTTGGCTTCTGGTAGGAAATAGGTATATGCCAAATGGCCTAAAGTTATTTTAGCAAAATGAGCCCCTTTAGCCAGTAAGCTAGTGCTTTAGCCAATGCGAGAAGAAGCCAATTACAATTGTCATAGTTGTTTCATCAGCATCTTCATTTTTAAACTTTTTATGCAGCTTGCTAACCTATATCACTTGTTTTACAAAATTCCTTCAAAACCAATATGATAGCTTCTTAAGAGATAGAATGCCTCTTCCTCCTCATTCAATTCATAATTGAGAAACTTAAATGGATAATATACTTGAACACAAGCATCATAAAAACAATAAGAAGTTAATTATCTTTAACGTGCAAGGCTTGATTAGTTGGAAGAACAAAATATCTCCTTTACATAGTCCATGATCTATGGAGAAACGCCTCCATCCAGCGCTCAATCCATTCCTTTCCACTAAGAAGTTTGCTTTGTACTCTTTCGTGGCATTCATCCACCAAAATGACTCTGGTATCATGCATTGGCAAATGCAAATTGCAGAAATTTCTAGGAAGAATTTGCCGCAAGAGAAGTTAGCCCAAATTATTGTCTGGCACTCCAAAATTACATCAAGTTTTATCCAGAGCATTGAACAAAATTTTTGGGCTCACCAACCAAAATCCAATATTGACATTTGAGGGAAGCATGTACTTAATAAAGCTAGGGAATTCGTCTGCAACATTTTCCAGAATCTTTTTTGCACGCCCCACAACTTCATCATTATCATACAAGTCTTCAATCCTTGTCCTCTTCTTTCTAAAGCTTCAAGTGTATCATAGAAGCAAGGCATCATTGTTACAAGATAATCCCAATATCAAGTTTTTTTTTTTTTTTTCTTGTTTTTTGTTTTCTCTTCTTATATATATATATAAGGACAAAAGAAATGAACAGCCATTCAGAAAATAAAATTACCGACCTTCCAGATTTTTTGAAATCATCTGAAATTACCTGCACAAGTGTGCAAAACATTTTCCCATTAGTTCATTACGTCATCACTTGCACAATTTGAATAATTCTGAGCAAGCTTAAAAATATGATCAATATTGAGCTGCCCAATCGTGCTTTTATATGTAAGTACTTATTTATCCAAGTAACCAGGGCCAACATATGAAATGACAGCAACCAACACAAAAGTATAAGCTTCATTCACTCATTTCAACTTAAATTTCTTTGAGAAAATGAATTCCCTATTTGAAATACTCTAATTCCCCTACCTTGTAGCATGTCAAATAGTTTATTGTGCTTCATTGTACAAAAAATCAAGTTTCTTGAATTTGCCTGACCTAAAAAAGGAGTTCTCCGACATTTACTCACCTTTTTGACCCCATTCTATCTCACTTCATGTGTGCACGTGTTACATGTAGACATGTGCATGTTTTTTGCACGTGTGCAACACACATTCATGCTCTATTCCTGTGTGCTTGAGGAATTGTCATTATGTGAAATTTCTTCGGCCCTTTAACACGTGGCACGAAGAGGACAATTTGAAAAGTTAATATAAGTTGTCAATTAAAATTGAATACATGACAGTTCGTACTGGTAATAATAAATCTGCGTAGTATTGGAACAATTGAGAGATACAAGATGTGGCCTAACAGTTACTCATAAAGTTTAAATTCAAAATCAAGAGGGAAGTCTAACTGCAAGAGTGGCGTAGTGGGACTGACTGTGAGAGAGCATGTTCAGCAATCATGGGCGGACATTTCGACGGTTGGAAGCCCACTTCGACGGTTACCACTGAAAAGTATAAATAATAAGGAATGCCCCAGAATGAAGCCCCAGACTCAAATCAAAAAATCAGTTTATTTATTTCGTTTTCCTTCCAGTTTTATAATTCTTTACATTTCTGCACTTCAATTTATGTACTGCACTTTATTTCCTAGGAGTAGTTTCAAATAGTTTGTTGCTATGAACCTCTACGAGGTTGGGTCAGATCATTGTAAGTTTTCATTTACTTCATGAAATTCAGATTCTGAAATTGTTCTTCACTTATTATTATTTACTAATTTCTCCTAAACAAGTCACCAGTAAAAGTCCTCTTCATTGAGATTGAAAGAACTAACACAATCGTCTGATAATTGGTTAGCAATTAATATTTTGTAAAAACTGATTAATTCTTGCTGACACATTTAAATTTACATTATTAACCTTCAAAAATCAAAAAAGCCAACACATGGTAACAAATTTATTTTTACATCCAAAAACACATCCATGGAGGGAGTGTCCATACACCCCCCTCTCTCTCTCTCTCTCTCTCTCTCTCTGTGTTTATTTAGATATAAAAACAGTAATAATGTTAAGTTTATCTTATTTTTTACACATCTTTTTACATACACACCATGCTCACATGGTATAGAATTTACGCCTATATACGTGTACGTAAAATAATAAGAAGAAAATTACGTAGACATAATTTTTTTTGTAAAATTTTGTCCACATAGAGGATGCTGTCAATTAATCTGGAAGCAGCAAAATAAATTTTGGCAATAGCTGTTTTTTGTTTTATTCGAGTATAATAACTTTTACTATACGAAAAGCTCTGATTTAAATTTGTCAAAATCTTTTAGCATTGTAATACTTCTATCACTCCAAGTTTTCTCATCAATAATAATGTGGGGATCAAATTTTTTAATATCATGCCACGAGTATATTTATTTAGTGAATCTTATATTTCATGTTATATAGTAACAAATTAAATGATATTTAAAATTTCATAGGTTGAGATCGATATCTTTAAAAATCCTACATCCCAGTCCCAATGACCCTCTCAAACTTGAATGAAAAAATGATTGGCAAAATGGTACCTGGCGCATAGCTCGGCCATAATTAGTTTGTTCATTTGCTAGTCTATTGCAAACAAACTGATACAAAACCCGAGTTATTATAGCACAACTCTTCTTCCAGAAAATAAAATGATGTTGATTTTTGTATAAATCCACAACATAACTATACTTGCCACACTCAGCAAAACCACTTTAAAAAAAAAAAACCCAAGATCATGCACTATTGGCATTCACATCCAGAGCCTCGGTCTCAGCATCAAGTCTTTCGGTGCTATAGTCCAGTTTCTCTCTACCTCCTGTTTGACCCTTTTTGCTGTTCCCCAAACAAGGCTGAAAAGCTGTTCCTCAAAGGTTTGCCAAGTCACGTCTCAACTTGCAAGCTGGGAAGTGATAAGCTTGTCAGCTCCAATGGCATGGACTGCCAATAAACTAGGTTACTTTTCCGGTAGTGAACCTACACTTGGTGCCCTTGAGAAGATGGTCATGCAGAATTGGATTTTGACTATAGCTTGATTCATTGGCTCGATGGTCAGAGATTTCAGAACCTACAAATCAAAAACATTCACAGATATTACTGTTAACTCTCAATTTTGCTTTTTCTTCAAATAAACAGCAGATTCTAAAAGTCTTTTACCTTCCAAAACTTCAGAGCCAAAATCGTCACTGTTAGTTTCGTACTGATTTGTTGCAAGCCCAGTTGTTTTAATATCTTTTCGATGAATATCTAGCAGAAGAGGCTCCACACACTTCTTTGATTTTTTCCGAGTCTGGCAATTCTTATCTGCAGAACATTTTCATGAGTTCCAAATAATGAGAATATTGAGATTAGGATAAACAAAGTTATGGGGGGTATCTTTTACAAATAAAAAGCAGAGCAGGAAAAAGACTTACTAGAGTATGTTCTTTTTGCATGTGTAACTAAATTCAGAAGGCAAAGAGCGGCATCTACTTCATCTAAACCATATACTCTCACTATGTGCACCTAGAGAGGGAGAGGGAAATAACAGGCAGACAATCAGAGCAACTTCATGCAGTAAACTAGCAAGAATTGCATCATACTTTTGTGCCATTTCAACAAGAATGATTGCCGGGATTCCTTGCTAAGGCCATTATTCTTCCGAAGAATGGCAATGTTCTTCAATTCTCCATGCATGTGTCAAGTAAATCAAAACTTGTGAACTTGGCAATGTATGAAACTATCCAATTCTTCCTTTTTTGGGGGTGGTAACCAGAAGATACAAACAACAAAATCAACTATTACAACCCAACCAGTCTTAAAGCAAGACAAACTCTTTATAATCAATAATCAATAACTTACACAGGTCTTTGTATCTCTGTCATCTCTCTTTTATTCAATTTGATTAACTAAAATGATTATCCTACTTTTTAATTAATTATTTATTTATATAGGCCACAGACCGAATACAGCAACTGTACTAACAGTTTCACCAGCATCTTCATTTCTAAACTTTCTATGTAGATTAATATTATATTCACAAACAATCAAAATTAACAAAAACTAAAACTAATTCGATATTTTTATAAACATAAAAAAAAACACTTTCAAATTAACACTTAACTTTTTTATGGATGATCTATTAAGTATTTAAATTTAAGCAAAACGTAATAAACATTCAGCATTTAACATCCATCAAACCGTTAAAAAAAAAAAAAAATCCATCAAAAAGCACTAAAGAAAGAGGGGGAGGGGGAGGGGGAGGAAACTAGTCAGTGTGTCCCCGGCGTGTTCCCTGAAAACAAATTAATTAAATAAAGGGACATGTCATGTGGCGTGTCCCATACGTGTCCCGGTGTCCAACACCCTACATCACTTGAAGTGTCGGTGCTTCTTAGAACATAAGCATCATAAGAACATCAACAAAAGTTAAAACGATTACCTTTAATGTGCAAGGCTTGATCAAATGGAAGACCAAAATATCTCCTTTAAGTAGTCTATGAGCCAAGGAGAAACCCCTCCATCCACCGCTCAGTCCATGCCTTTCCACTAAAAAATTCGCTTCATACTCTTCATACCACATTCATCCACCAAAATGACTGTTGTATCATGCATTGGCAAATGCAAATTGCAGAATTTTTTAGGAAGAATCTGCCGCAAGAGAAGTTAGCCCAAACTACTGTCTGGCACTCCAAAATTACGTCAAGGACTACAACATTGAACAAAAGTTCAGGCTTACCAGCCAAAATCCATGAGTGACATTCGAGGGAAGCATACACTTAATAAAGCTAGGGTATTCATCTGCTACATTTTCCAGAACCTCATCTGCACGCTCCATAACAGAACACTTGGCTTCATCATTGTCATACAAGTCTTCAATCCTTGTCCTCTTCTTTTTACAGCTTTAAGTAGATCACAGAGGCGAGGCATCATTGTTAGAAGATAATACAAATATCCAGCTTTTTTCCTCTAAATATACATAAAAGGACAAAAGAACTGAACAACCATTCAAATAAAATTACTGACCTTCCAGATTTTCCGAGATCATCTGATATTACCTGCTCAAGAATACAAAACATTTTCCCATTAGTTCATTAGGTCATCATTGCTTGCACCTTTTGAATCATTTTGGGTATGCTTGAAATAGGGCAGCCATTTATCACATTTTTACTTCACCAAACTTTTCACCTCCTATGTGGTTTCCTATGTGGCATGTAAAGTTTTAAATATAGTGTCCTAATACACATGGGAAGCGAAACACAGAGGTGAAATAAATCTGGTAATCAATTTCTGCTTGAAATTATGATCAATATTGAGGTGTGCAATCACGCTTTATAGGTAAGTACTTATTTCTCTGTACAACGGAGCCAACACATGAAATGGAAACAACCAACACAAATGTATAGGCTTCATTCATTTCAACTTTAATTATTTCGAGAAAAAGCATTCCCTGTTCAAAATACTCTAATCTCTCTACCCCGTCTTATGTCACATATTATGTTGTGCTTCATTTTATGAGATATCAGGCCCCTAACTTAACAAAGAAGTTCTCCCACATTAATCACCTTCTCGATCTGTTTCTATCTCACTTTGTGTGTGCACATGTAAGCATGTAGACACGTGCATGTTGTTTGCACGTGTGCACGCATTCATGTTCCATTCCTGTGTGCTTGAGAAACTTGTCATTAAGTGCAATTTCTTCAATCATTTACCTCTCCACCCTTCTTTGAATTATTCTAAGAATAAAACTTTCAACTTCAGTTAATAGCTTCCTGGTCTCAAGCTAAACGTTTATGTTAATCTCTATCAATTTCACAAGAGAACGTCTCTTCCTCTTTAACCAAGCCAAACCCTTACAAGGCTTATAATACCAATCTAGCATTGTCCGTGTACCACTCAATGCATCACAACCAATTATATAGCATCCATAATAATTTGTTGACTATGTAGCTATTCAATTTCTATGGGGGCACCCCCAATAAATGAATAAGAGAATATAGCTTAAGCAAATTGTCCTTTGACAAGATCTGAATCATCTGATCCAGTAATTAAACGAGCTTATAAAGAATCAAGAACAAGCATAACAAGATTAGAAAGTTAATTACTAATCTTAATCGGTATGTTAAGCAAGGTTTGGATTACCTATTCAATTTAAAATCCAGCATCGCAACTAACCGAAGATGGCACTCATATAACACTCATAACAATTTGTCAAGTATATAAATATTCAATTTCCACGAGGCATCCTCAATAAATGAATAATTAAAATAGCTTAAGCAAATAGTCATTCGACAAGATCTGAATCATCGAATCCAAAAACTAAACTAGCTTCTAAAGAATCAAGAACAAGCGCAATGAGATTTGAAAGTGAAATATTAATCTTAATTGGCAAGTTAAGCACCGTTTTAAGTATCACAAAACGACTAGGGTTTCAACTTTTGGAGTTCCCATCAAATTTCAGACTACATATGTTAACAATCTTATAAACACAAAGCTTCGACAAGTCTGAATCACCTGATCCAATAACTAAACTAGCATATAAAGATTCGAGAATGACCACAACAAGATTTGAAAATGAATTACTAATCTTAATTGGTAAGTTAAGCCGGTGTGGAGTACGGCAAAATGATCAGGGTTTCCAATTTTGGGTTTCCCATCAAATTTCACATTGCATATATGTGCACATATAACAACCATGGAAAAACAAAGCAAGAAACCTGGACGACGACGACACCGAAGCGAGAAAATCACCAAAAATCAACAAACAACATTTCAATCTACAATAATGACAGCAATCGTAACTTTCCCTAAAAGGAGAATAAGTTCTCACTTGCTTGGGCTTAGATTTGACACTCTTAGGCTTTTTTGGGACTAACTTTTTCTTGATCTTCTTCAATGGTGACCTCTGCAAGTGAACAAAACACATTCTTGATGATCAGAACAAAAAAAGAAACGTACCCACATACAAAAACATACAAATCAAGAAGAAGAAAAAAAGAGAACATGGGCGATGAATCAACCGGGTTTTCTTGTTCTTCAGCTTCCAAAACTTGGGTTTCCTCCTCCTCCTGCAGTTGCTGCTTGAGTTTCATCTTCAAAGCGCTCTCTCTCTGCCCCTCCTCTCTCCCCCTCCTCACTGGCGTGTAGGTGTAGAGAGAGAGAGAGAGAGAGAAGACAAAAGACAGAGATGTGAAGTAGACCCTGATGCTGGACAGAGACAGGCGAATCCGGGGCAGCCGAAAATTAGTTGTAAATTTTGACCGTTTTGTTTTTCTTTTTCAATTTAATTTTTTTTTTCTTCCTTTTTGCTGTAGGATCCAATTGGAGCCCACCTTTCCTGCACTAAGATCTATAATTTTAAATTTGTTTATACAATTTCTTAAAATTTTAAGAGAGATTTATTAGAAAAAAAAATTTCAAGTATCTGTATCTTAATTAATTTATAAGATATTTATATATTTTAATAAATTTTATTATTTGGACATTTGATCTATTAAATTTTAATTTTTATATTTAAAGTATATTATGGACATTTCTATCCTTACAAATATTTTTTGAGTGGTTAAAAACTTGGTAATGTAAACATTCATATTTTACAATGTGAATGTTTACATTGAAAGTGTAAACATTCACATTAACATGTAACATTCATATTGATGGTGTGAACATTCACATTGACGATGTGAATATTTACATTAACGGTATAAACATTCATATCATGAAATATTCACACTGTAAATGTGAATATTATTAGATGTATTTTGATAACTATGTCACGCATAAGACTTATTAGAATATAAAAAAATAATATGGACTAAATAGAACATAAATAGGTAAAAGAGATTTATGAAAAATGTTCCAAATTTTAATTTAAAATATGTATTGATTCATCCTAAATTTATGAATTTTATTGATTTGAATTAATTAAAACTTGAGTTTTGTAAGTATATATATATAAAAAAAAAAAATTGAAATTCAAAATTTGTATTCAAATTACATATTTTTTACCAGATTGTTTTTAAGGTAGGGCCAAATAATTTGAAGTTTAATGCAATAAGTCTAAATGAAGCTTTTTATCTTTTAATGCTACAGTCGTGTTATATACACCAATTAGTGTACACATTAGTTTACTAACTAATGTTATGTCATTATTATTGACCACATTTATTATACAAATTATAAAGGAAAAATTAGTCTAAAGTCCCTCTCCCATTTTTAGTAAGGCCAAGTTTGGCTATCCTAAATAAGTACACACTTTTTATCTTTTTATCTTTTTTCCATCACATCATCTCTCTACTTTTCTGCACATCTTTTCGTAAAAAGACAAAAAGTGCACTTATTTAGGTCATCCCAAACAACCCTTATGAGATCCATAATATTATTTTATGATGTCTAAGGTTCCTCAATTCTACACTCATATATCACAAAGAAATTTGACTAAGAGAGAGAGAAGATATGCGAGAAAGAGAACCAAAATAGTGCTAATTGATAGAGAAAGAGAGAGAGAAGACGTGTGAAAGAGAGAGAAACCCTAGATCGCTTAGTCGTTCTCCGCCGCTCTTCACTTCGTCGCCGCTCACCGTTGTCACAAAGTTCTCCGAACTGAACCGTCACTAACTTTTTTGAATCTTCTAGCAAGACAAACGTAAGGCATGTTTATGCGACAAGATGGGGAGTTCCCTGTGCAACCAGAGTGAACCAAAGTGTTTGCCGGTTTTGCCCTCTACCTGTTTGACAAAATGCCTCAGTGAACTCTGCTACTGAGAAGTCATAAGATGATTAAGGAGAACTCTGCTACTAAGAAGTCATAGTGGACCTTCAGATACTGAATGCTCTATAATGGAGAATGCGATTCTTGAATGCGATATGTTTCATCGATTACTTATACCATTTCTTTAAACTTGGACATCCACAACCAATTCAGGGCTTTACTCGTCCACACATTGCACATGCCATTATCACAGTTGAAGGGGGTAAATTTACTATCATTACTATTTTATTCAAGTTAGTTGATAATTTGTTTGGTTTCCAAGAAACCAAACTATGATGGATATATATTTGGGTTCAACTAAACAGGAATTGTGAAGGCTTGTTTTTCATGTTTTATTTATTTATTTATTTATAATGTTTTCATATTCTATGTCTCTCTGCTTGGTTTCCACAAGCTTAGGAAGTTAAATTTCAAAATAGATTCAGATTTTATGGTTTAAATTTTCAATTTTCCTGGAAAATCTGTTCCCAAGATGGAAATTCTTTTTATCTTTCTCAAATATAACACTGATCAAAACATTTTATGATGGTGATATGTAACAACGCCGACCCATGATTAACGTTAATCCATGCTTAATTATGCCTAATAAGAAATTAAAGTGAAGTTTTGCATCATATGTTGCTTTATTTGTGTTTATATCTGTTTAGAGTAGAAAGACTTGTTTATGTTTTCTTTTCGGTTGCGAATTGAAGGTCTTATCAACATTCGATTGAAAAATTGACTTGATTTATATATTAATTAGAATTTTTAGAATTTTATGATAGGTTCAATCGAAATTCGATTCGGAACGAAATAATTAGAATAATTAATGCTCATTTAATTAGTGGTAAGCCTATTTAATTAGTCCATTAACCAAGCCTATATAAGGCTTCTATATGCATCTTAACTCACATTTCTTCATCATTTTGTTGATACCAACCGTGAGAGAGAGAAGCGGGAGATTAGAACCAACTTTGAATAGAATTGAAGTCAAGCTAGCAACTACTAGATGAATTGAAGGGAATTGGTGAGATTAAGCAAAAGATCACTAGAATTTAAGGAATTGTGGATCCTAGGTAAGGAAACGACCCTTACGCTCTATGTTAGACTCACTTAAGTAAGGAACTAAGAGAATTAAGTGAATCAATACATGAATTAAGCTAATGAACTAGAAGAGAAGAGCAAATCATGCATGCATGTTCATTTGATCATAATTGAAGTTATTTTCAAGAGAATTCTCACATGCATGTTAGTATCTTGGTTTTGTTCAAGGAATTCAACATGTTTTAGACCTAAACATCTCATTTGATCATGATTCGGAAACTTGGAGCTCAAATCATTTTCATGCATGTCATGTTCATGTTATGTTCTCACATTTCAAGCTTGATTTTGTATAATTGCATGTTATTGGGCCTTGATTTTGAGTAATGATTCTTACTTCAGGATGCTTTGCAAGTTTACAAGAGTTTCCTTAAGTTTTTGGCCCAAGAAACCATAATTTACAGCTTTGGGGTTGAGTTTGAAGCTTGGAAGCAATTCTGGAAATTCTAGAATTCTGCTTCCACGCTCGAGCGACAAATCCTGGGCTCGAGCGACCACCTTTATTTTTGCATTTCCACTCAAGCAACCGAAATCCCGCTCGAGCGTAAAATGCATGCTCCTAGAAGTTTGCGTGTTTTGCACACCGTTCGAGCGACAAAAGTTGCGCTTGAGCGAGGGCGAGTCTCACGCTCGAACGAGCGTCGAGCGAGCATCGAGCGGAAAAAGCAAACAACCAGCAGTTTTGCAAAGTTTATAGATCGCTCTAGCAAAAGAATGTGTGCTCGATCGATCACTTGCATCTTGCATGTCTGCTCGAGCGAGACCCATGTTTCTAACATTTCTAACTAAGTGTTTTCAAATGCATTTTTGCATCCTCATTACATCATAGGCATTCCTAGACCAAGATTAAGACACAATAATGTGAGTAAAGGCTAGAAATACACTAAGAGCAAATGAAACAAGTTATGTACAATGCAAGCGTGCGTTTCAGTATATGTATCTGTTATGTATTGATGTAGGTCACGCGCTGTAAACCGTTTGATTTGCCTGCTCTATCTGTCTGCATTCAGAGCCATCTATGAGTAATAACTTAGTAAATCTATATTCAACTTTATTTACTTTCTGTATGATAAAATAAGATATGTTTTCTGAAATGCTATTTTCTGTACAATGAATTATTGTACAATTTCTGACAATGTATTCGTGGCGTCCTTAGCATCATGCAATATCTGTTAGCTATTATCCGGTATCGGAGGTTCCATTATGGAACTTATTATGTCTGCACTATGTTACCTGTACCGGAGGCTCCATCATGGAGCTCAACATATCTGTCATCTGTTACTCGGATCCAGAGGTTCCTTTATGGAACTGGTTACTCATAACCACTATCTGTTCTGCATCTGTTCTGTTAGCGCTAATGGATGTACCACGTGTGATTAAGCATGAACTCTGATTTCTATATATGACTTGAACAAGAATAAGAATATGTATATGAATCTGAAATTTTGATTTTCTAAATCTGAAATGGATATCATTCATCAAATTCTTTACTCTATTATTATTCACTAGGCTCCTGCTCACTATTTGTATTATGTATGTAGGTAATCAGGCACGTGACCAAGCCTAGAGTTGGTGGCCTAGGATTCTGTTTTGTCAGCCAACCACCGTACCACTCGAGGAGGTTCCTTTTGAAAAGACCAGGTCAAGGCTTTATTTTTGTTCTGTTTATCTATGTCAAATACGTGATGTGAAACCAATGTGTTTATGATGTTACGTGTATATATATATATATATATATAAGTTTGATTGAAATTTTTGTCTCATATATGTCAACACAATTCAATGGACTATGTATATTTTATATATTACTTCCGCAACCCTTAATTATATGTTATTCTGTTAAGAGGCCTTTGATAATCCAATGATTACTGGTCGGTTACGACGCTAAACCTATAAGGGCGAGTTTGGGCCATGACATGATAGTACTAAGAAATTCTCTGGTTTGCACACCAGAGAAATTTGCACTTTGCAGAGAAATTTCATGAGCAAATTTCTCACACCAGAGAAATTTCTCTTCTGCAAACCAGAGAAATTTGAAGAGAATTTCTCTGTAGAGTGGGAAATGGACAGTGAGAAGTCTAGAGAAATTTAATTTCTCTGGGAAGTCCAGAGAAATTCTCTAGATTGAAATTTTTCTGGATCGATATGTGAGAGACCTTAGACATTATGAAAATATTGGATATCATTTATACTATAAAATCTTAATACCAAGGACCTTAAAAAAAAATTCCCAATTATAAGTATCCAAAATATCTAAAATTATGTCACATCATCTGTTAGTACACTAATTAGTACATTAATGAATACATATAACATTATTTTTAATATTAATAGTTAACTTGTGTTATGCACGTAATTAA